TCCAAGTATTCCTTTTCTGCTGCTGCTAGTGCATCATTCGATAGACTGCGATAAGATTTCATAGCACCTACTGAGTCTTCAAACAGTCATACATATTCCGGTTCTGTTGACGGCATGCCCAGGCCACGGACAAGAATCGGTTTTGCGTACAATGGACGAATTCTGCATTAGAGTAAAGAGCAAACCTTGGACTACAGCGTCGCACTTCTTGAACGCATCAGCTTTCTGCTCCTTCAAGAACTTATCGTACTCGCGATTGCTCATCACACGCGAAAGATCCGGCATGTTCACCACTCTACACGCCTACAGCAACCGCAACGAAAGTCCGCTGCCTCTCGCACAATCCAACGACCGAGCTTTGTCAGCATACGACTCCCTCCACTTCCAAAAAAAGTTCCAGTGCGAAGCATGGCTGCTTCAATGCAGGGGCGGAAGGCATCTTCGTCGCTAGCATCTACCAAGAAAACAAAGGCCAAGCAGCGCTACTTGAAAGCAAAGAAGAATAGGAAGAAAGCGAAAAAATCCGCAGGTCCGAGACCTTTTGGAGAGGGGAAGGTTCATGGCGAGTTGAAGGAGAAAAAGAAGCAGAGAAAGAAGCAGAAGAGCAGCAAAGAGAATGAAGGAACACTCACAAAAGATGAAAGTACCACCACCTCGGAGAATTCTGATCAATCAAAATCCAGTGACAGCGAATCATCCAACTCGGACTCGAGCGAGACGGAGTCGGAAGCTAGCACGTCCTCGGGCAATCGTTCTGTCGACTCTGGTGAGAAATTTGCTAAAGACCTGAAATCAAGCGTCTTTGATACCACTCCAGCGGACCAGCCAAATCAACCAAAAGACTCGGACGATAACCACAGTCCAACTTTAACGGAGTCGTCCCACAGTGACCCTCTTCCGACGCATTTAAACGCTGACCAAAGCGATTCTCCGGACCAGGACGAGCAGCTACCGTTCTTGTATCGATTCCCTCGTCCTCGACAGACCAATATCTCTGATCCGCACCAACTTGCTTCCCTAGGATTGCCAGAAGGTCTCGAACGGCCTACTTTGGTGGATGCATCTAAGACGCGATCCTTCGATACCCATGATTCTGCTAATACTGATCCTCTTGAAATCTCGTTCAGCCCTTCCGTCAAACAACAGCTGCTCCGCTTGGGTATAACTGAATGGTTTGCAGTCCAAGCATCGGTGATACCGCTCTTATTGGATCCCAGCAGGCATAATCATCTCTCCTTACCTTACAAACCCCCGCGCGACTTGTGTGTTTCAGCGCCGACAGGAAGTGGGAAAACGCTCGCCTATATTGTCCCGATTGTGGAAGTATTGCGGACTCGTATCGTAATGCAATTGCGCGCATTAATTTTAGTCCCTACTCGAGACTTGGCCATCCAGGTCGGTGAAATGTTCTTCGCAATTGGCAAAGGCAGTGGACTCCGTGCCGCGGTCGTTACTGGTAACCACAGTTTCAGACATGAACAAGCTCAGATCGTGTGTGATTCTGCCAATGGCTATAGCAGCAACGTTGATGTATTGATTGCTACACCTGGTCGTCTTGTGGATCACATCAGAGATACTCCTGGCTTCACACTTCAGTATCTTCGTTACCTTGTCATTGACGAGGCAGATCGGTTGCTCACGCAATCTTTCCAGCAGTGGGTATCCACCATTCAGGAAGCCTTGGAGCCAAAGCCAAGTCATTGCAAACAATCCACTTTAGCACCCGCTTCGCTAGCTACTGAACTACCAGTTTGGGCTCGTGACGATCTGGATTCTCCTGTTCCGAGTGTGCAAAAACTTCTTTTCTCAGCTACGCTCACGCGTGATCCTGCAAAGATTAACTTGCTCCGACTGCGTAATCCTCATTACGTCCACGTACGTGACGATGTGCACGATCAACAGCTACAACTCGACCGATTCGCACTTCCCGCTGGCTTGACAGAGCATATGATCATCACTGAGCCAAGTAACAAAGTGCTTTGTCTATTGTATCTTTTCCATTCTCATCTCTCGGTGCGCCGCGCTTTATGTTTCACCAAAAGTGTTGATAGCGCTAATCGCCTTGTGCGTCTTTTGACGTTTTTCCAGGCGCGATTTGGGTCATCAAGCCCACTTAGCATCCAGAATTACTCAAGTGATCTTACTCGTGCAGCTCGCACACAGATCTTGCGGCAATTCCAGCACGGAGAAATCGACGTTCTAGTGTGCTCCGATCTAATCTCTCGAGGGATGGACATACCGGATGTACGCACAGTAATTTCCTACGATGTTCCAGTCGATATGGCGAAATATGTACATCGGGTGGGACGCACGGCACGCGCTGGACGCACTGGAGATGCTTACAGTTTGGTGGAAGAACAAGAAGTGTACCACTTCAAAAACATGCTGCGACAGGCAAACCATTTAGAGCAAGTCGAAACGATCAAAATTCGTCCGTTAGATTACGAGCCATATAAGGTATGCTACAAAGAGGCTCTATCGGAACTTGCGACTGTCTATAGCCAACAGCATAAACACTAATGTAATATACAAAGGAGATTACCCCAGCACGTCCATCTTTTTCTTTTTCTTTTTGGTCTTTTGGAAGCTGCGCCACCCCTCAACACGATTATCTCGCGCATTTTCCCAAGCGATTTCCAAATCGGCCTTACGCTTGCGTTGTTCTTCGGCCTGTTCTCGTAGCTTGCGTGCCTCTTCTTCAGCCTCTTGCTTGATGCGGATACGGTTGCGCCGATACAATTCATCTTCGCGCATCAAATGGTTGGTACAATGTACAACGCGCTCTGGAAACGTAGGTTTCAACCCATGTAGGCGCCCCCCGGGTTCTTGCTCCTTTTCCACTTGTTCGTCAGACCAGGTGAATGGCAAATTTAATTCTTGTAAAGCAAGAGATCGACCTGACCTCGAAATCTCGTTGAGTGCTTGACGTCGCTCTGCGTCGAATAAATGATCCAGTGCTTGTTTCATGAGCTGGAAAGCTTCTTGCGCTCTCTCTCGATAATGATCACCGACTTTATCGGGATGGATCAACAAGCTTTTCTTCCGGAAAGCCTTCTGGATGGATTTATCGTCCATATCTGGCGTTATACCTAGCACATCGTACGGATTTAATCTGAAGCACCCAAGAACTATCCTATCGATTTCACGTTGTTGCGGTGTCTTAGCACGTTCCTGCGCTGCTTGTCAGAACTTCACTTACCGTCTTCTTCATCGAGTGCCGTCCAATTCGGCGGCGGAACAGGGATAGGACCCTCAGGAAACGATGGTGGCGGCTTCAACTTTTCATTAGCCACTTTATCGTTTTGCACACCATCATGACTAGCCGCTCGTTCCATTGGCGGCTTAGGCGGGGGTCCCGGCGGCGGGCCAGGAGCGGTCTTCACTGAGCCATTTTCGCCTTGCGCCATGCGTGCCGACATCGGCGATCACGTTCAAATTGTCGATCGGACTGGTTTTGCCAAGCCATCGGGCGGAATCGGGCTAGCCAAGTCCATTCGTGAAAACCATGAGTGAGAAGACCAGTGCGAAGCCTATGCCAAAGCTCAAGAAGTCGTCGTTTGCTCGAGATGTCTACACGGGACGATGGCTAGTATCCCCGGTATCAGCGGCAAAAGTCGCGATTCTGGTCATTTTGATGCATATCGTATGGGAATATGTGGTTCCTGTCAGCTGGAACCCAGTCAGACCGTTCTTGTACTTGTCTTACAAGTTGCCCGCATCCGAGGTGGTTCTGAAAGAAGCATCGTATAAGCTGTATGGACCTACTCCTTCCCACTCGGAAAACGATGTTATTGCGCGTAGTATCCGTCATTTTTTTCAAGGGGTTCATAAAACTTTATTCCCCAATGAGTCGCGATTCTTGCGTTACGGAAAAGGATGGCTTGACCTGTGTTTCGTGGCATACTTTGTGGTAGTATTCAGTTTTTTGCGCCAGATATTGACCTTGCATGTTTTCAAGCCTCTTGCTCGTCGATGGGGAATCCAATCGGACCAGAAACAAATACGTTTCGCGGAACAAGGATATGCTTTGTTTTACTGGGGACTGGCTAGTATTCTTGGACTGTATGTGATGTCCTTCCAGGACAGTTGGTGGTTCAGTACGTATTCGACACTTATGAAACAGATCTGGATCATCTCTGGTACCGTACGTGTAATCCACTCACCGATAGAGTATCCTCATTGGGTCATGCGTCCTGAAACCAAGATTTACTATTTACTGCAGGCCAGCTACTGGATGCAGCAGGCATTTGTCATGTTGTTGGGCCTCGAGCGACCACGAAAGGACTATTATGAGCTGATTGCCCACGTACGTTAATCTTCTTATTCAGCATCTTGTCACTCTATGGCTTATAGGCTGGTCCTACTTCATCAACTTGACAATGATTGGAACAACTGTATTCGTCTGTATGGATATCCCAGATACCTGGCTCGCGGTAAGCTACAAATTTCTAATTGAAAGATCTCCAAAATGTTGAATTACCTGGAACTGAATACTGTGACTGCTATTGTCTATCCCACGTTCATGGTCATATGGACGTATTTCCGAATTTATCTCAGCGCACGTACGCTTTATTCGGTGTACAATGACTACCACAAAATCCCCGCTTACGCTCGCACATTCTACCCATCACAAGGCCACTGGCTAGTCTGGTGGATGCAGTGTCATGTACGTATATACCAGCTCATTCTCAAGGTGTTTGCACCTCTTTTGCTTTTGCTCTTACTCAACATTTTCTGGTACTATCTGATGTGGCGGATCTTTATCCGGTATGTACTTGCAAAAGCTCATTCTCAGCACCCTGCGTGGCGTCTATGCTGATGAGCGCGAAGAAGACGAACAAGATGAACAGCCATCGATCCAAAATTCTAAAGAAGAGTAGCCTTTTCCGTTCTCATAGATACTTGCTCGAGATCTTCTCAATCCGCCTTGGCATCCCAAAAAAAGTGGAGATCAATCCAATATCACAACAGTTTGCTTAGAAAGGAAAGCAAAAACACCAGGGGCGCACTGGGAATCGAACCCAGGACCTCTTCTATGTTCGTAGACGAATCTAACCCTAAAGAAGAATCATACCTCTAGACCATGCGCCCTAATGTATGGATTCCAGCAAGACCAGTGCTTACTAGTACAAGCTCTGTAGCTTGCCATTCGTTCGGTCTAACTTTTTCGAGGTGTTCACTGGTAACCATTCTTGCCCATTTACCCTTATCCTCTATGTATTGCATTTACTTTATAGCTCATATCGAACGCGATAAGCAGCCAGGTAGCATGGTACGTTTGCGTACCCATTCCGTGCTGCATGCTCCGCGGCATTACTGTCCGGCAACACCATAAATCCCAAGGGACCACAACCACAATCTGGGCACAGAATATATTTCACAAATCGTTCCTCGCCCGGCGAAATACCCAGGGAATAAGAAGGAATTGTATCAGCTGAGCTGCTCATTTCAACGTTTTCGCTGGCCTTTGCCTGCGAAGATTGCGTCGATGTTCGACGCGGAAATCCGGTCTGGAACCGAGACTCAGCTCGTCGGGCCGAGCCGCCGGCGGTTTCTGGTGGATTGGATACTGACTTGGATGACGTCGGCGACAAGCTAGGCTCGGGAACCCTCCACGGCGTAGTCTTTGAGAAGGAAACGTTATCGAACTGCATCGGCTCATTCAATTCCCAGAACGCCCTCACAGGCCCAATGGAACCGCCCTCGGAACCAGGGAAGCGCACCTGAAGCTCTTTCATCATAGGCTTTGAGTTTCCAGTACCATGGTCTAACAATAGAGTCTCGGAATTAACAGAAACCGCATCATGCTCCGACAGTGGTCCCATTTCTTTCAAAAACCACTTGGCAGAATGACGACCTACTATCACACATCCACACTGCTCATTCGGGCAATAAAGTCGGCAGCAGTTCTTTTCGCCATTCCGTGATACAATTCGTGCTTTCAATGCAGACATAGAATCTTCTGTAGCAGTTTTTGCGGCAACAGCCTGGCCAAACACGGAAGATAGCAGTTTGCCAGGGTTCCGAGGTTGAGTGACACTGCTTTGCGTACGACTCCTTGCAGGCAGGCCAAGATCCTGCGCTGCGCCCTCGGACATTTTACCCTGCGCAAGAAGCGTGGAAAGTATTTGTTCGTTAGAAATGGGATTTGCATCCACCGGCGATAGCGAAAGGCTGCCGAATCCCCAAGCATTCGAGCTAGAATGGTCGGTGCTACTTAAGGCTCTTCTTGATGGAAGACCAGGGTCAGAAGCACTCATGTCCTGTTCGCCAGAAATGACGGGAGAAGCAAACTCTTCCAGTTCCTGTGTTCCTGAGCCAGAGGTATCTTCGCGATGCGACTCAGGTCGGGACTGAATTGGATATCGCATTTCGACCCATGATTCACTACCTTTGGGCAAATAACTCGGTCCTTGGATTTTAAAGCCACATTTCATGAAGAAAGACATACGTCTCGGCGGGCTAACCACCGTGACGCAATCGTAACTCCTCCGAACGGCCTTGGACTCGCACGCGTACCCATTCTCGATTCGTGCCAAGAGTTTTCGCATAAGCTTCTGGCCCACACCTTGTCTACGCATTCCTCTCTCCACACAGAAATCATGAATACATACCACGTTGGCTATCTCCGAACGGGTCGATCCGTACATACTTTGAGTTACAGGTCCAGGTGCGACGGTTGCGGTGCAGAATCCGGTTAGTCGACGTCGTGCGTCTCCAGACAGAGGTCCGGCTACCATAGGTGGCGGAAGGTTTTGAAATGCTCCTAGGAAGAATTGAGGTGCTTGCTCATGACGTTGGCTAAAGGTAAGAGATTTCCTAACTTACATCAGCTGGGATATCGATGATACTTCTTCCCGAGGAAAGCTAGCTGCCTCGATAGAATGCGCTGATCGGATCTCTTCTGCGCGCACCAAATCAATCACTACTCCCGGCTTTCTCCCCTGATGGTGCGAAGTATCCTTAGCACGCGACTTCACTGAGGATGGAACCTCGCTTGAGTCTTGACGTTGACTCGTAGAGGTTGTGCGGCTCGTTTGACTTTTACTGCTTGCGCGACTTTCACCTACAGAGTTCTCCGACGGAACGTCGCTTTGTACATTCTGAAGCGAACTAGTTGGCGCATGCGCCGACTTCAAAGACCGCCCAAGCGGCATGCTTTCCCTGAATGTGGAGGAGCTTACCGTCGGAGGAAACCTGGTCCGCGCGCACACGCCGCACGTGCCGCTAAGACCATGTGCTGGCCGCGTGCTGATCACCGAAGCTTATAGAAGCTTGGACAGCCAAGTTGGACAGCGCGCCAGTGGTTTGCACAGCGGAAAGTGTTCCAATCAAGTCCAATATATAAGTCGGAGCAACACTTGCATCTACCTTTAGGATCCTTCGTGTACGTATCGGTGTCCCAAAGGCACCACAACCGTTCTCACGCCTAACAGTCTAATGGGCTTTGCGCCGACTTTTGCCCGTCGATTTGCAGCTACATCTTTAACCATGTCCAACGTATTCTTCGATATCACTAAGAACGGCTCGCCTCTTGGCACCATCAAGTTCAAGCTCTTTGACGAGTAAGTATTTGGCTCTTACCTAGTGTTGTGCCCAAGACCGCTGCCAACTTCCGTGCTCTGTGCACTGGCGAGAAGGGTTTCGGTTACGAAGGTTCCAGCTTCCACCGAGTGATCCCTGACTTTATGCTCCAGGGTGGTGACTTCACCGCCGGTAACGGAACTGGTGGCAAGTCGATTTACGGCCAGAAATTCGCCGACGAAAACTTCAACTTGAAGCACAACAAGCCTGGTCTTTTGTCCATGGCCAACGCCGGCCCGAACACCAACGGATCGCAATTCGTACGTATGAATGTGTCTGACCAAAGTTTATCACCACTGTCGTGACCCCTTGGGTAGGTTAAAGAAGCATTACTGACCATGTAGCTCGATGGCAAGCACGTCGTGTTCGGTGAAGTCGTTGACGGTATGAACATTGTTAAGTCGATTGAGGCCGAGGGCTCCGGAAGCGGTAAGCCCAAGAGCCAGATCAAGATCGCCAAGTCCGGCGTCTATTAGATGCTAAGAGATTGATACGCTCAATAGTGAAGTAGTCTGTCAGTATTCAACGTAAAATAAAATTTTGAGTATGATCTGTTGGAATGCTATGTGGGTTTGATTGCATTCCAGTCTTCATACCGTGCATCGCCAACGGAGCTACCTGCGCGGTCTCCTGGGGTAACTGAGCTGCCTCCCTTTTTAGCATACTGGTCCCTGGTCACTAAGCGATGTGCCAAGAACTTGCCGTTCGCAGAGTCCAGTGGAGCCTGGAGTAAAGCCAAGGCACCCAGTGTTGGAGCAATGACCGGGTCTGCGGCGATTCGCACGTCTACCGGCACGTCAGTCGGTGCCAACATGCGTAGCTCATATGCACTGTGTTAGTTGCTTTCACCTACAGACGACGGCGCAAACCTTTTGCTCCCGCTGTCCCACCAACGACAATCACATTACCCCACATCAGGTCTTGGTATTCTGGAGGAACACTGTGAATCGCAGCAGCTACCAGCTCGGCCAGTGAGCCTTGTTCGAGTCCTGATTGGGTAAGAGACGATTCACGTACCAATTCGCTGCGGCGCAAATAACAGCTCCATCAGCTGGAATCGCTCCTGTGCAACTCGCAGGATTTGGTGCTCGCTTGATTCAGGAACAGGATCTGGGTGTTGCCCGGCAATGAAACTGTCCAATATTTGGTCTTCGGATCCATGAGTAGTCGCTGGTTGGTTTCGGCTACCTGGGCCGGCTTCTACGAATCCAAATCTTGTGTGAGGATTTTTGGCGTCCTCGGGATGCGCATAGTCAGGTAGTACGTAATGCTGCACCATCTCATTATCCTGGTTTTCATGGAAGTATTCGACAAACCGTGCAAAACTCCATGCATGCGGTCGATCGTCAGGTTTGCGGGGACTTGTATCGTTCGCGCTGGACGCCACAAAACACGACACAGGCTTCATTTTGTCGATGAGAAACGTCTCGTCCATCATATTCCACTGCCTATAAGAGAAAGACTCTTTGAGTAGACTTGTCAGCACTTTGCCTCCCAAATCTAATCGCTTCACACCATCCCATTGCACCTGATCACGGATGATGGGCACAGTATGTGTATAGCTTTGGCCGCAATCAACCACCAAGACACATTCCGGCCGCCGAGGGTCAGCAAACGGCACAAGTTGCGCAGCTGCATTAGTCGGAAATCACTTACGTATCGTCCGCCAGACTGCATCTGCTTGGTACCAGTCAAAGAGGAGCATGTCAAAGGCACGTTGTTGCTCTGGCAAAGCAAAGTATGGCTCCGTTACAATCACAGTCCGTCCTTGTAGCGCGCCGAACGAATCAAAGCTAGTATCTTTTTTGCCGAATCGCTGGGCTAATGCCCGGTCCCAAACAGCTTTCTGCGCAGCCCAATCCACAACCATACCACGATCAATAGGCAAACGTAGCTGCAATCCGCCAAAATCCATGCATTCCTCCTCGATTTGGTCCCCTACCAGTACCTGTCGACGCACACCATGCCGAGTACGCGCAATCGCATTAAAATGCCGTGAAATCTCCGGCACAGCTTCTTTATGCATGGGAGTAGTACCCAAGCGGACATGCCAAGCACCTGTCTCTAGCACCACCGCATCTTGCACGGACGTGCGCGCCTTCCCAGGCGGCTTCATCTTCCAAGACAACCTCCACCTTGACCATGTCGTTTGGACGGCCGCCGACATTTGGCATGTTTCAGGTGTCGCCGCCTGAGCGTGGGTCGTTTCCCCTGGACCATTATGGCGACTGCAAAGAGGCGATGAAAGAATATATGAAGTGTCTCAAAGAGAATAAGAACAACAATGGCGCATGTAGGCATCTCAGCAAGAAATACTTGGAATGTCGTATGGACAAGTAAGTACAGATCATCTTACTGTTGTAGTGATTTGATGGAGCGTGATGATATGAACCATCTCGGTTTTGCAGACATTACAGAAACAAAACCGAAGGAGGCCCCCAAGAACGACTCTACATCTCGCATTGTGTAATTATAGACTACGTAGTATATTCTCTTCATGTTGAAGA